ACAATGAAAGTGGTTTGTGTTATATGAAGAAAAGGTCCTCATTTTGTAAAGTATTATTAAATTTCCCTTGTACTGAGTTCATGTTCAACAAGAAATTTCAGAAGCTGGATTTAGTTTCCAAGAAATAGGGAATATTCCCTAATCAGCAGACATGAATACTGTAATCTATGAAAAGATAAATACAGCTCTTAAAATACAATAAATTCATTGTCAGTATGGAACTTTATTTAATAAATCAGTCCCCGATTGCTTAAGCAACTCCGAGCCCTCTTACAGTTGACTGATCATCTCTGTAAATTGAAGACAAGATTTCAGGTGGTGACAACTTCAAGATATTGCCCTCATTTAGGACTCAGATTATGCTGGCAGCTGATATTCCTCTATGACACTTCTATTCTATTATTTTAAACTTTAGTCAAATATGCAGTGTATTACCTTTTTTTTTTAATTGTCAGCCAGTGGGCTTGTACACGGACCAGAGAGAGAAAGAGGGCAAACGCACCTCCCAGTGGAGTGTGATCATGCTGCAATCCTTTGTGGCTCCGATTATTTGAGTTTCTTTATAATATATAATGTATTTTAAACCAATAACCCCCTCGGCTGAGTCTCTATGTGACAGCATCTGTGCAGTGTGTACTTTAATGTAAAGTGTAAGAGTGGTGAGGGAGAGGCGGAGGCGGAGGAGCAGGAGTTATGGAGGGGTCAGGCTCTGCAGGAAAGTGTGATCAGAGGAGGTGCAGGAAGAGCAGGCTGCTGTGGTCTGAGTTAGACGGTGAAGCTGGTGGAGCAAGAGGATGGGCGAACAGTCTGAATGCCAGAATGGAGCTTCATTTTCCTACAGCATTTGTAATTGCTTGTGTACATAGCCTCATTTCTGCCATCTGCGTGGCAGCTTCTATTAGTACAGACTTCTGGTATGAATATCGAAGTCCTGTTAAAGAAAAGTCCAATGATTTGAACAAAAGTCTCTGGGAAGACTTCATTAGTGATGAGGCAGAGGAAAACATGTAACGATGCACGATAGAACAGCTTAGTGGGATTATGGTGATGGTGTATCACCATACCCCAAAACACACATTGGTATAGCCCCCCAGAAAGGACAGAGTCATTTGATGTTACAGAATGCATGAGTTTCACACAAAATGGGCAGTTCATGGGCAAATTTGTTGATTCCAGAAACCACAATAGTGGAATTGATGTACTTCGGACCTATCTTTGGTGTTGCCAGTTCCTGTTACCTTTTGTCAGCCTAGGTTTGATGTGCTTTGGAGCTTTGACTGGACTTTGTACCTACATCTGCCGAAGCTTGTATCCCACCATTGCCACAGGCATTCTCCATCTCCTGGTAGGTCTGTGTACATTGGGCTCAGTCAGTTGTTACGTTGCTGGAATTGAACTACTTCACCAGAAACTGGAGCTCCCTGACGATGTAACCAGTGAATTTGGATGTTCCTTCTGCCTGACCTGAGTCTCAGTTCCCTTACAGGTGACAGGTCATGGTTTCTGCTCTTTTCATTTGGGCTGCCCACACCAACTGGAAAAAGTACACCTTAATGAAGGCATATGGCCTGGCCTGAGTGAAAAGCTCCCTACTTGACAGTTGCCATTTTTACTTTTTTTAGAGAGAGAGATTTTTGCTATAGGGCACGTGTGCTTACTGGAGAGACAGAGAGCAAGAAGTCATCCCCCAGGGAGGATGGCCATGCTGTAATCCCTTCTCCTCCATTCCCTTCTCAGGATCTTGGGTACACTCACACATGTGCCCAGCATGAGGTTCAAGCTTCCAGGTCCAGGACTCAAACTGCAGTGGACTACATGGGAAGTCCAATGACAGCCATTACGCCATCTGCTGGTCACATTATTTTTAAATTTGATACACGTTTTTGTTTTCCTACTAATTGTTTTTAATTTAATTTTTATTTTTTGGTGGATATACCATTTTATCCTGAAAATCCATCTTATTTACATAATACACACACACACACACCACTGAGTACACAATCCACTAAAATTTACGTGGTTTACTCTAGTGATTCCATATTTAAAACAAACTAATCTTGGTTCAGAGTCTAGACAGAAACAAATGAAGATAACTGGCACAAATTTGTGAAAGAAAATTGGCAGTAGGAAGTTGATCTTAAGCAAGTTTTGCTAATGTCTGGTAGACTTCCCAGTAAAAGTTGAATAACTGTTCTGTCTCAGGAAGAATCTCTAGTCTCTCTGGGAAACCTCTTATTATCTAAAGTTCATGTTCACTCTGCTTTTGTAGCTAGCCATCAGCTAACAGTATTGAAGACTTAAGCTCCATAGAATCGGGAAATTAACTGAGATCCCTTTCCCTAAACTTTGGCACATGGGTTTGTCTGAAGGGAAATATGGCAGCTGTTTGTATCTATACTGTGTCTGCCTATAAGAAAAGAAGTGAAAATGTAGTGTTTACTTGAAATTTTAACTTGAGAATTCCAGTTCAGTCAAATAAGATGGTTAATCATATGACTTTATTTTTTAAAAAACTGATAGAAGTTTTAATACCATCAAACCATTTAGAATTTTTATACCTTCCCTGTTCAGACACCAGGTTTATTAAGAGTGTTTTTTGTTTGTTTGTTTGTTTGTTTTGTTTAGTTTTTTCCTTTACCTTAGGATCTCAGAATAAAATTCCCCAACTACTCTTTGTCCTTTCCAGTTAAGTACCATAAGGAAGGTTCGGCCATAATGAGTCTCCAGAGCTGGGAAAACTACCACAAGATCTAAAGGCTCAACTGTCCATTAACCTCCAACTATGGTCTTTTATTTCTTCTGGTAAAATGATGTGCCTTTCCTTGCCTAAATTCCTTCCTAGTGTGTATCAACATTATTTAATATCTTCTAATTCAGTCTTTTTTATGAATATGACTATAAACATTTAACTTTAAAAAATTGTATTTATTTATTCCATTAGTATAGCATTTGGCAGATTTTTACAAAATGAATGTCTTTTTCTAAAAAATAAAAAAATTAGACTAAAAAAATAAACAATAAGAGTGGTTAAGCTACAAACTCTGAGGACCAGCAGATGGCATAATAGTTACATTGCTGGTTACACTGAGCTCTCACAGGGCCAATGGCAATTCAAGTCCCAGACCCAGAGGCTCAAAAGTCACACTGGGTGTTTGTGCCCGTGTGCCCACAATCCTAAAAGGAAAATGGAGGGGAAGGAATTGCAATATGCTCATCCCCCCTGGGGGGTTATTTCTCATTTTCTGTCTTTTTTCTCTGTCTTTCTGGTGAGCACACACACCCTATAGCAAAAATCTCTCAAAAAAATAAATAAAAAGGAAAAAAAAGAGAAAAGATATAAACTTTGTAGCCAGATTGTGCCAGTAGACATTCTAACTTTGTGGGACCAGCATTTGGTGTAATGGCTATGATGCTGGACTCCCAAGGAGGTGACCACGGTTTTAGTCCCAGACCCGGAGGCTTAAATTTACGCCAGGCACATGTGTGTGCATGCCCAAGATCCCAAGAGGAGAATGGAGGAGAAGGGATTGCAGCATGGCCATCCCCCTGGGGGATGATTTCTTGCTTTCTGTCTCTCTGTCTCTCTCTCTTTTTCTGGCAAGTACACACGCCCTATAGCTACAACCTCTAAAAAAAGAAAAGAAAAGAAAAGAATCTCTAACTTTGTATCCATGACAACTTGAGCATATTATTAACTTCTCTGTTCTTCAGTTTTCACTTATAAAATGGGTACATGAGTGCTACCTCATAGAATTCATGTGAGGATTATATGTACTAATGTTTGTATAATGACTGTGCAAGAATCATACTTGTAAATATTACCTAAAATTGCTGAATCTATTTATTTTAGTTAGTGGTAGCATGGTTTTGAATGTCTGACTGCATTTCCTTTAAATCAGTGTATAATTTAGACAACTTACTAATTGAGGCTACCACATCTTTAAGTAGTTCAAGATATTGAGCCTTTATGTGCTTTTCAATGTCTTCTTTACTCACATTTGGAACCAAATAGTGTAATGATCCTATATAAATTGAAACATAATGTTTTTTTCTCTCTCTCTGGTCCCTTTGGTCCATAATATTAACTAAAAATTAAAACACAGCAAAAAAAAAAAATAACCAGTTATAAAAACATGGCCCTATTGAAGTTGAAAAATGTTTCATTACTTGTAGAAATTGGTGGGCTGGACATACCTTCACATGTTTAGTGAAGAGAATATAATTAGAGAAAGGGAGGGGAAAAGTCCTTTTTTGAATAAAATGTGAAAAGCACCATAACCTTGGATTAAATAAGACCAGCCTCTGGTAAAGTGAATGAAAGAAGTGCTTTAAAAATCACCACTGGGGAATTTAAGGAAATAACTTCCACATTAATAAGTTAAAGCTATCAGTGCAGAGTTTTGTCCAATCTCCCTAAAGCTGTTATTACTTGCACAGCTAAGGGAATAGTTACATTAAAATCCAAGTTTAGATTTTTCTGTGTGTGTGTTTTTTTTTTAATAAGTGCTATGCACTGATCATTCTTTTAATCATTCTTCTTCAGGTCTATTGCCTTCAAGGAGCAACAGGATTTAGAGCTCTGCAAAAATAAATGACAAAATGTAGGGCAAAAAAGTCAAGGCCCAAAAGAGCCTCTGTTGTACCCAAGCCTGTACAGCACGAAGGCTACTTCGTACATGTAGTTCTCTGCTTCTGCACCAGGGCTTCTCCGTCCTGACCACACATTGGAATGAATTAAGAGCTTTCACAAACTCCTTTGTTAAGGCTGCACCCCAGGCTGATTTGAAAATGATCTCTGGAGTTAGATCCAGGCATCAGTATTTTTTAAAACTCTGAGATGATGTCAATGGGCAGACAAAGTAGAGAAAGAACCACATCTTTGGAAAATCTCTTCCATCTCTTTGTAAAGATAGACTGGGGGCTTATTCTCATAAACAAAGTCTTTATTTACTGCTAATCATGTCATTAGTCAAAAGAAATTTGAGAAGACACTTACAATCACATTTCCTCTTTGCTTTCTTTCCTTTTCCTTTCTTGCCTTTACTTTTTGTGACCTGGACGCATTTCTTCTCACCTGATGTTTTAAAGATTAAAGAAGCACAACTGATTGGATCCTATTTGTATGCTGTCACATGTTTCAGATTACTTGGACAAATAATGAACAAAAGAGAAAGAGAAAGGGAGGAAGGAAAGAAGAGTGAGTTCTTGAGATGGCGGGAGGGAAAAGTCAACATCTACAACATTTGCTTAGATTAAATATGACAAAAGAAATTTTGTAAAATACAATAAAATGTTGTGTAACTATATATATATGTAACTATATATATATGTGTGTTTGTGTGTGTGTGTGTGTATATAAAATATATATATATTATATATATATATGCATTTAACGTTTTCTTCTATAGGGCACATTTGCTTGCCAGAGATAAGAGAGACAGAGAGAGGGAAAGTGAGAAATCACCCCCCAGGAGGATGGCTATACCACAATCCCTTCTCCTCCATTCTCCTCTTGGGATTTTGGGCATGCATACACAGGCACGCAGCATGACTTTCAAGCCACCAGGTCTGAGACGTCAACTGCAGTCAGCTGTGTGGGAATCCAGCACCTTAACCACTGCCCCACCTGTGGCCCCTGTTTTGTATATATTTTACAGTCACGGGGAGAAACTTTCACATGTGGTCTCATGAAGTCATTGCAATGTGAAGTGAGTAGAGTACCTACTATATTGTTGCTCCCCGTTCAAAATAAAGAAAATGAGCCCCAAATCTTTACTCAAGCTTATTCAACTACTAAGTGGCCAAGACTGTACTTGCAGATTCCATCCCCACTTCCTTATTCTCTCTTCAGAACATTTTATTCAGATGAGTCTACTCCAATAGTTCTTATTCTCATGGCCCAAAGATAAATATTGTGTTAAAGCCATTGGTCAGTTCTCTAGTCTCATCTCCTTTCCTCTGATTCTTATGACGCTTTTGTTCCCATTTGAACAGCAACTTCTTAGTTTAACTACCTGACTCTTCCTTCTCTGCCCTACCTCCAGATGACTGAGCTTCCCAGGCTTTAGTGGTATACCTGCAAAAGCAAGTCTATCCAAGCTCTCTCCTCAAACAATCTCACTAGTGAGATAACTTTTACATCTTATCTATAAGATAATACTATACAAATTCATATTTCAGGCCCTGACTTCACCACTGACCTTTGTTTATTTACACAACTTTTTCTCTTGTAAGACATTTTTTTTGAAATTTTGTTATTATTTTCCTTTAATATGTTATAGGACACGTACACTCACAAGAGAGAAAAAGAGAAAAGAGAAAGAGAGAGAGAGAAAGTGAAAAAGAAAGCCACCAGGTTCATAGTTCACTGCAACCATAGCCATTCATGTGAGAGTCCAGCACCTATAACAACTATGGTGACCATTCTACTAGACATTTCAAACTTCACGAGTATCTAAATAGTCACTAAGTTTTATCCTCAGACCTTCTATGCCACTTCTCATATCATCAAGAGTCTCTACTCTATCAGTCATCAGTTTTGGGTTATTTACTGATCAGTGAAGCTGATCTGGTCAGATAGGTTAACTGTTAACATAAGGTAAAAAGGACAGTTCTTAAAGGAAGTTATCCTCTCCTTTGTCTCCACATTACAATCTCCTGGAAAGACTTTGGAAGGTAATAATCTTGCACCTTAGATCCAGAGATTGCATATATTCAATTATGACCTGGCAAGTGAGGAGGAAGAGCTGCAGACAAGGTATGGTCTTTTAAAAATCTCCTCCAATGATTTTAATGTGCAACCAAGATTGAGAAACACTGCCCTGGGAAAAAGTAGCCCACCCAAAATGAAGTGACAAAGTAAGAGAAGTGGTCATTTAACTGACTGTTTACACAAAGCATGTTTCTGAAAGTGCTTTGAGGATTACATAAAACTCATTATAAATGAACTTGATAAAATCAGAATGACATATAGAATGTATGGAGTGTATCTCAGGGAAGCAAGAGTATCACTATCAGGAAACAGGTTTACGTTCCGTAATGGGATGAGAGAGATTCTAAGTTGCTTCTCTGCAGGAGAGTAATGCTTTTTTCTCTGGGTATCCTTTTCTCATTGCCCTGAGTTATGGCAAAGGAAAATAAAATGGAGCCCTGGAGGAGCCCCACAGGAAATCCATGTGAGAAAAATACCACACTTTAGAAGTGCAAGCTGAGGAGGTAGAAGTAGCAGAAATTCTCGCACTGAGTTTTTCAATACTGCTAACAATTCTGATATCAAGCAAAAATTATTTAGTATAGCAACAAAATATTGCTAAATAACTACTATAATAAAATAAATAAATTGTGCTGAGGGCTGATTATTTGTTCAGTATTAGAGTAGGCACTTCATATACACTAACGTATTTTATTACCAAAATAGTCTTTCCAAGTTGATATATTTATCTCTATTTTTCAAATGAAGAAATTGACTGGGAATAATAACAGAATGTGTTTGTTTGTTTTTAGATTAGTTTTCTTTGTTCCTTTTTTTTTTTTTTTTATAGGGCATGTGCACTTGCTGGAGAGACTAAAACAGAGACAGAGAGAAAGAAATTATCAGCCCCCAGGGGAGATGGCCACACCACACCCCACCTTATCTGTCCTCTGGGATATTGCCCATGTACACACATGCACTTGACATTTTTGCCATAGGACTCTTGCACTCATTGGAGAGAGACAGAGAGAGTCAGCGAGAGGTGAAGTGAGAAATCACCCACCCTCCACCCCCTGGGGGGGAATGGCCATGCTACAATCTCTTCTCCGTTCTCCTCCTGAGATTTTGGGTATACTTACACACATACCTCATGTGCTTTACAAGTCACCAGATTCAGGACTCAAATTGTAGTCAGCCATGTGAGAGGTCAGCACCTTAACCACCACACCACCTGCTGGCCTCAAAATAATGTGTTTAAGAATAAATAACTAATAGAGTGGGGAACAAAATTCAAGATTCTCAAGCTACAATTTGTGCCCTTTGACAGCGGTATTCCACAGCACTACTGTGATGAGCCCAGTGATATATCAGTACAGGACAAGAACTCTTATGGACTGAGATTTACAACCAACCCAAACTCCCAAGTGAGTGTAAGAAATATTTTTAAAGGCTACCAGTTCTTTCTTTTTTTTCTTCTTCTTCTTTTCCAATGAAATTTTATGATTGTTTTGGGCCAACTCCATCGCCTAGTGTTTAAGGAAAACACAGATCCCACATGGCTGATTTGCAGTTTGAATCTTACCCTTGAGGCTTGAAAATCATGCTAGGTATATGTATGTACCCCAGTTCCTGACAGAATGGAGAAATGGAGGAGAAGGGATTGTGGTGTGACATGCCTCAAGGGAATGCTTTCTCTCTGGCAAAATACAGCTGTCCTCTGACCATTAAAAATACATTTTAAGGGAACAGTAAATGGTGTATTGGTTACGTTGTTGACTGAATGTGGTTTGAGTGCTGGACCTAGAGTCTTGAAATTCCTACTGGGTGCATGTGCATGCCTGCCCAAAATCCCAAGAGGAGAATGGATTATAGCAAGACCATCCCCCAGGGGATGATTTCTTGCTTTCTCTCTCACTGTCTCGCTGATAAGCACACATGCCCTATAGGAAAAAAAAAAAAAAAAAAAGAATAATAAATAAACAAAATTCTTAAAGATTATTTTGAGATGTATATTTATTGAGATTTATAATTTAAGGATGAAGAACCTTTCTTAGAAACAAAACACATATAATACCTAAAGGCCAAATGCGAAGATCATAACTGACATGGGTCTTTGTGTGACATTAAGGAACAGAGATGAGTAATGAAGCTTAAGTTCGTACCTAGAGCCAGAGAAGGTGAACCATCTTCAGCAGCCTCCTCAGCAAATCGAATTCAAGCCACCACAGAGAGGAAGAACTTTAACCGGGAGTGCCAAGGAATATATCTAGTCAGGCTTTGGGATTCCAAACTCCAGGTTGACAGAAACTAAAACTGCAGCTTCTAGCTTGATGGTAATGAGACACTTAAAAATGAAAATGTAAGGATTACACAGAGTTAGGTAACCCCTTTTATTTCCATGCCTTTCCTGGGGCCACTTGAAGAGAAATTCCAATGATTCATTTTATCTCACTCATAACCCTCTGAACAAACCTACCAATAGTCTGTAAATAATAGAAAAGGGTGTTGAGAGCCTGTGGCAAAGGCTTTGAGAAAACCCACATGCACATATGCCATTCTTCTAACTAGATTTTGTGCTTTTTATGTGTTCAGTCAAGAATGAAAACAATATTATAAATGTTATGCTTTCCAGGCTTGACAGATGCTCATCTAGGGATGGAGTTACATACACAGATAGAAAATGAGCTGTAACAAGTTCTTTGCAGAGGATACGTGGATGTTTTTGGAATCTGTGATGAAAACCCACTGTACCATGTATATATTTTTCCTTATTACTCAGATTTATTCTTTAAAACTTTCTTTCCACCATTTTTACCATCCAACTGACAATTCTAAGTGTTCCTGTGTTATTGCTGTTTACTTGGTCTAAAGCAGAAATGATGTTTTACAGCAGCTATATGAAGTACCATTGAGAATTAAATTGCTTTTCTTTCTTCCTCATCATTGTGAATTTGGTTCAGATGAAAGATGGAAGATTGGAAGCCAGGGAGTTGAAAGTCCTCTGTTATCTATGAGATGCACATGATATGGTCAGAGGCAGCCCAAACTTCCTTCTCCACAACAGCATATGCCAGCTTTCAAATCCTGGAGAAAGAGCTCTGTGGGAGAGGGTGTCATCTGTAAAAGATAGCATTTCAAGATAAGATCTCTTAAAAAAAAAAAGAAAAAGAAAGAAAAGGAAAAGGAGTTGGGATTTACAAGGCAGGCAGATGGGAAAAACAAGGTGAAGGAAGATTTACAAAGGCACCTTTTCGGTTCCTATTTAGTTTGAGAATGATATAAGCTGTATTCCTCCTTTTATTTCGCTCTTCACCTTCCTGTGTGTCTGTTTGCCACCCTGGAATTCTTGGCCCATTTTTGCTGGATCTGAACAGGCGGCAACAAACTCCCTTCACAGCCATCGCCAAGTCCTGAGGCTCTCTATAAAAAGACATGGTCTGAAACTCCAGACCACTGTGGAAGGGCTCCACATGCTGCTTCTTCCTTCTCTGTTTCCAACCCTCCTGTTCTCGACTAGGTGATTTAGCGTTCTCATTGCCTTGCACCTGGTCTCTGCCTCTCAGCTTAGCTTGATTCCAGCTTTGTTCCTGGACAAATCTTTTAGCTCCTTTCTTGCAGCTTGGCAGCCAGATCCCTGGCATCCTACAGCAAGCCCAGCTTCTTTAAACCTGGACCAGGCTCAGGGAGTTCTGACAGATTTGTCCTGTGTTTCTTTCCATCCTACCTAAACTCTCCCCTTTCCTTGTGTTTTGCATTGGTTTTAAAGAGCCTCTAAACTGCCCAGGGCTTCACCACGAGGAATCACGCCTAACTCTCAAGTAAAACCTTTTAGTCTCACTTTTTCTTAGACATCATCTGCTGTGCATCAAGCTGCATCATGTACCTCCTTCCCTTCCTAGTGTGAGTTTGGTGGGTAGATCCGCCTAGCTTTCTCTGTTATGCTTACGCTTTCATAATTCAGCACTTAATGAACACTTTCTTTTATGATGGTGCATGTACTGACTCCACATTTACACTTTGTCTAAATTAAAATTTCATCAGACTACTGCAAACCTACCACTCCTTCTGTGATGCCTGTCTTTGTCGATGGCACCACCATTTTTCCAGGCTCTCAGCCCTCCAAAGCGTGGACTTCTCTGATTTTGCCCTTGCAGCCACATTCAGAGTCCATTGATTCTCATCCAGCCCCAGGTTTCTATTTACATCATACAACCCTAATTTTTAAAAAAGATTTATTTATTTACTTATTTCCATTTGTTATCGTTATTTTTTTTTCTTTATTTGATGAGAGAGAGTGAGAAAGAGAGAGAGAAAGGGAAAGTGAGAAAGCAAGCCACCAGGTCCAGGACTTGACCCATGGTTGGCCATGTGGGAATCCAGCGCCCTTATCCACACCACCACCTGCTGGCCCCGAACCCTAATTTTTGTTTATTGGTAAGTCTCCCAGTTTGCCCTCATACCTATAGAACTTTCCCCACTAAATCCATTTATACACTGTGACCTGCTTAAGCTGTCAGAAGTCTTTGAATTTCTGTTCTTCAACTATTTTCTGTATGACCCCCTGAAAAAGTAAAATCCTTTACTTTCAGTTTTTTATCCATAAAGTTTGATAATATCTTCAAAGACGTATTATTATTAATTTTTTTAGTGCTTCCTATGGCAAAAAAAATCATGTCTGTGGTTCCTATCCCTATCATAGTGGCCTGGAATAGAGTCTTTACTGTGCGTTAATAGGTATTGTTGAATTTTGTTTCTTCCGCAGTTGTCACAGTAGAAGGCACAATGTTCTTTGCCCCTCCTTACTAGCTATAACATTCATCTATTTAATCAAATGTATTTCTCAACTACTTCTCTTCACTTGCACTTTTAATGCTCTAATGGCTATGAGAGGATGATGATGTTAATGCCGACTATTTATCTAACACTTACTATGTGCCAGAACTAATTCATCACTTTTACAGGGATAAACTCATTGACACTTTACATAGTAGAGCAGAGTTATAAAGTCCTTAGTATAAGTGAGAAATTAAAACCAAAGGTAAATTAAAGTAATTCGGTCTCGATCACACAGCCAGAAAGTAAAGAAGCTAGGATTTACATACAGATTGTCCTCAGAAGTTTTTCTCCTCGGTAGTGTTCCAAGTGCCTTACGCAATTCCACTACATTACTCTTAAATCTGTGTGTGTGTGTATGTGTGTGTGTGTGTGTGTGTGAAGCATTAAGAACAAACCAAAGAGTGGACAAATCATGTAACTTATTGAGCTATTAAATGAAAGTCCCTTGAAATGGAACTTCTAGGTATAGGAAATGTGGATATTAAATATTAGAATATGTCAAATTTTTCCACAAAGGTCATGTATTTACATTATTACCAGAAATATATGCTTGTACAATCCCCTTGTCCATTTCTTTTGAGTTCTGTGTCTTTTTCGTATTAATTTGAATACTTTTAATGTATGCTGGATGTGAGCACTTTGTAGTTGTATTTATCACAGAACTCTTCTTGTATGCTCTGGCTTGCATTTGCACTTGCTTAATAATGTTCTTTGATTTTCATTAATATGATCCGATATATAAAGGTTTCTATCTCTTTTTGTCTCATTGAATGGAGGACTTTTATTGCATCTTTAAAACATAAGAAATAGATCTTAAAAATCATCTAGCACCTTGTTACTGTAGCTAAAAGATGCTTAGATCTTTTTATCAATCGCTGAACTATTCCTTTTTCAGAGACATAGATTCCATCCAAAACTCTTCTGATATCCTTGTTTTTAACAGCCATGGATTGTTGAATCAAAGTAGCTAAATTTGATACAAATTTAACATTATTTTCTTCAAGAATTAACTCATCTTTCTGGGTTTAAGATACTAAAAAGCACCTTGCGGATTCATCCCAAATGTGCAAATATATTATTCCCCCAGGAAATTCCAGATTTCAACAAGAGATTCATTCTCTTGAATACTGATGTTGACAGGGAAGTGAGCAGACACAGACCTTATCTTGTAACAGAACCAGTGTTACATCTTGATCTTGTTCTGAACAGGACTGCAGATGGTGTGAATGGTAGTGTCATTACCTTTACCTTTTTATTTCTCCACCATTTATCAAACCAGAGCCTCCCTCCCTGCAACCCCGAGGAGACTGAGTTCTACTTTGATATGATTGCATTTTCTCTGCAGGGTTCCTCTGGGGCTCTCTCCAGAATAACTGTACACTCCTTCAAAATGATGTTGACAGGTAGTTGAGAATGGTCTCCATTCTTGAAATAGAAGTGGAAAAACTGGCAAGTTTTCACTTGATGGCCAGTGAATTGGAATCTAGTTTATGAAGATATACCCTGAGCTCTTTACCTTTCATTTTATTTGCATTGCAAACATGAAGATATTCTTCTCTGTCCTATAAAACCTCTACCATTTTAAATTTCATATGTAGATGCACAATACTCACAGAATTGATTTTGTGTTGAGTATGAGCTATGGACCAAGTTTTAATTTTATGATATCTACTGACCCACTAGTAATTGAATTTGCTGCTCTGCAATGAAGTCATTATTGTCAGTCAAGTATCCATATTTGCATGGGTTTATTTCTTATGTTTTTTTTTTCCCCACTATGTCATCTTGAAAATTGTGAAACATAATGAAAAGTTGACAGAATTGATATTTTGTATGATTGGTTTATCAGATATTTATCCAGCTATCTACCTGTCTAGTCATCTATAAAATAATATTAAAAAAAAATGTTTGCTCAGAGCACACATGCACTTGCCAGAGAGAGAGACTGAAGAAGGAAGCAAGAAAACACCCCCACCATGGGGACGGTCACACCATAATCCCTCCTCCTCCATTTCTGCTTCTTAGCAGGACTTTGAGCATGCATACACATTTCTGGAATGCTTTTCAAACTACTGGGTCTGGTATTTGAACCACACAAGTATTCATGTCTGATCCAGCTGCCTTACCCACCACACCATCATCTGGCCCAAATTAATAGTTTTAAAGCATTTTAAAGTAAGTTACAGATATCAGCATATCCCTAAACATTTCCACATTCATATCATTAATTAGAATTTAATAAATGCTTATGGATTTTTGAGATAAATTTACATGAAGTGAGATGTACAAACATTAAGCTGTTGTTTAGTAAATTTTGACATAAGTAGACACAGATTAATTTACAGATTATTCTTCAAATTTGTGTAAGTAAAATCATACTGTCTGTGCTTGTTTGGGAAAAGTTTCTTTCATTATATAATATTTCTATATTTATTTACATTTTATTACTATACATCTTTACAATATACAACATAATTTTTACCAGCAAAAATATAGTACAGATCAGTCAAGACAAAGCCATTATCATATACACTATCATCAGCAAAGAACTTTTCATTTTGTGTCAATTAAATGTATTACTTGTTTGTTCTTTCCCTCTCTCCCTCTATTACCTGCCTCCTATTAACCCCATACTGTCTCCAGTATCTACAGTTGCCCTCCCTACAACGAAACCTCCCATTCTTTCTGTTTCCGCTTTAGAATGCAGACATTCGATGTGCATTGAGTAGGGACATGCAAAGCCTGTCTATCATATCATAGTCTGGCTTGCTTTGCTTAGCATTTCAGTCTCCCATATTCATCCACGTTTTATCAAATGTCAGGGTCTCATTGTTTTTTTGTTTGTTTGTTTGTTTGAGATTAATCCATACTGTTGCATGTACTTGTGCTTTGTTCTTTCTATCATCAAGTAATATTAAATTATACTAGTATATAGCAGTTTGTTTCTATAGTCTTCTAGTCATTGGCACCTGGACTCTTTCCAGTTTTCCGTTACTGTGGTTTAAAGGTGCTATAAACATTTTTGTACATGTCTTTTGATTCTTGCCTCTTGAGTAAATACCTGTAAGTGGGCCTGGCTGCAATGCTATGGCAGGAACACACGCCTGTATGATACTGGAGCCATGTGAGAGGGTCTTCGATTATTATCCCGGCTAGAAGTCTGAGGGGAATATCATATCGTGACAAGAGCCTGCTGGGGGTCTCTGCTCTTTCTCTCTCTTTCACAGAAATAAATAAATAAATTCACCCCCTTCCAAAAACAAAAAAACAAAAAAATCCTG